GTGTATTTCACCAACAGCTATTTACAGCCCAATAACAGGCTAATTATAAGTAACCCTTCTTTTATTTATTTTTATTTTTTTTTTAATTGAGACAGAGTCTCACTTTGTTACCCTCTGTAGAGCGCTATGGTGCCACAGCTCACAGCAACCTTCAACTCTTAGGTTTAAGTGATTCTCTTGTCTCAGCCTCCCAAGTAGCCAGGACTACAGGTGCCCACCACAACACCTGACATTTTTATTGTTGTTGTTGCAGTTGTCATTGCTGTTTAGCAGGCCCTGGCCAGGCTTGAACCCCCAGTCTCAGTGTATGTGGCTGGTGCCCTACTCACTGAGCTACGGGTGTTGAGCAACTACTGCTTCATTTAAATAGTCTTTGTGGTTTTTTGTTTTTTTGTTTTTTTTTTTCAGTTTTTGGCCAGGGCCGGGCTTGAACCCACCGCCTCCGGCATATGGGGCCGGTGCCCTACTCCCTGAGCCATAGGCGCCGCCCATCTTTGTGCTTTTCACATGGCAGAAATTCACTGTCAATTTTTTTTTAAATACTCATAAGCAAGAAGAAGTTAAAATAATGCTTCTTTCAACCCTGAAGAGCTTAAACAACTTATTTAGGGGCACACAGACACGAAATGGCTAAACTGAACATTGAGATATGGTCATCTGGCCTCACAGCCCCAGCTTTTAAATGTGGCATTATGCTGTTGATGCTACCCTCACCCTCCACAAACGCATCACACACAAACACTTTATAGGAACAAATTTTAGCTAATTAAAATGAATCAGAATCACTGAAATTTGAAATTAAATCTACCACAAATACAATGTTGCAATGCATGAAATTCACAGTATTTGGTCTTTTTCTATCTTCCCAAATCCTGTGCTCTCAGTTATTTAAGCCAAACTTGATGAAAATCCACAAAATACAGATTGAGAGGCAGCACTGAGAGGTAAGATAGGCAGAGAATGGTTTCTACATTAGAGAAACATGAGTTTGGAGACCACTTAGGCCCCTAGATGTGTTACCAAAGATAGGCTGCAAAACATCTCTCAGTCTTAGTGTCGTTTGTAAAATAGAGATAATGAGAAATACTTTTCAGCATTTCATGAAATTAGAAGTGATATGATCACAATGTGCATTGCAACTGATTAATTATAGATCTTTATGGTTTGTCCAAACAAAAACCTTGCTGAATTGTTTTCCACAGCTATATTTGGCTTTTTCAAAAACCGGTCCTTCATTTAAATTCTCACGGTAATTTAACTTTTATACTTTTATTAGATGCATTTAGTAACTTGCCCTACAGTCATTTTCTTGGAATTCAATCTCTTCTCCACAGGCTCTCTTTTGAGATTAAAGAGAAAGAAGTGGCAAATTTAATGTTAGAGCAATTTTTCATTTAAAAGTAGATCATTGTTTTCATTACTCTATAATTAATGTTTTCTGTTTTTCTTTACCAGGGAGTTACTTCTCATTCGATATTCCTATTGCCAAAGTGAAACTCTCTTGTTTTCTTGCAAGATGAAAAGAATCAACCATGTATGAGCCACCTCTGGACAGTATAGCAAATGCTTCCGATTTCCCTGATTATGCAATTACTCTTGAAAATTGCACTGATGAAAAAATCCCACTCAAGATGCACTACCTCCCTGTTATTTATGGCATCATCTTCCTCGTCGGTTTCCCAGGGAACGTGCTGGCCATTTCCACTTACATTCTCAAAATGCGTCCCTGGAAAAGCAGCACCATCATCATGCTGAACCTGGCCTGCACAGACCTGCTGTATCTCACCAGCCTCCCCTTCCTGATCCACTACTATGCCAGTGGGGAAAACTGGATCTTTGGGGATTTCATGTGCAAGTTCATCCGCTTCGGCTTCCATTTCAACTTGTACAGCAGCATCCTCTTCCTTACCTGTTTCAGCATCTTCCGCTACTGTGTGATCATTCACCCGATGAGCTGCTTCGCCATCCACAAGACCCGCTGGGCAGTGGTAGCCTGTGCTGTGGTGTGGGTCATTTCACTGGTGGCCGTCATCCCCATGACCTTCCTGATCACATCGACCACCAGGACCAATAGATCTGCCTGTCTTGACCTCACCAGTTCAGATGACCTCACCACCATTAAATGGTACAATTTAATTTTGACCGCCACCGCTTTCTGCCTCCCTTTGGTGATAGTAACACTTTGCTACACGACGATTATCTACACCCTAACCCAGGGACTTCAGACGAGCAGCTGCCTTAAGCAGAAAGCTCGGAGGCTGACCATTCTGCTGCTCCTCGTGTTTTACATATGCTTTTTACCTTTCCATATCTTGAGGGTCATTCGGATTGAATCTCGCCTGCTTTCCATCCGCTGCTCCATCGAGAATCAGATCCATGAAGCTTACATCATTTCCAGGCCACTGGCTGCCCTGAACACCTTTGGTAACCTGTTACTCTACGTGGTGGTTGGCGACAACTTTCAGCAGGCCGTGTGCTCCATAGTGAGGTGCAAGGCAACCGCGGAACTCGAGCAAGCAAAGAAGATCAGCTACTCAAACGGCCCCTGAGATACTTCACAGACTCAGCCACAAACAAGAGTCTGCTGATACTTCACTCTTCACTCCTGAGAAGTCTGAAACGTCTCCCTCCATGGAACTCCTAGTAAATACTGTGTCTTCAGGTGATTATGTGCTATAGCCCTGGCAGGGTTACCAGCCGTTCTCTGCCATCCCTCTATTGGGCTCCTGCTTTTGGTCTAAGGACAGGATGCATGCCTATCAGTAAAGTGTTCAGATTTAGAATTACAAACTATTAGAACTCAGGGGCATCTTGGAGAACATCTGTTCCCGCCAACTCCTTACTTGCACATGGAAACTGAAATTCATGCACTTGTCCGAGATCTCTCAGTAAATTAGCGGTCAGGTAGGAGGAAATCAGTCTTTTCACGATAGTTTCATGCTTCACCATACTTTGGGGCCTAACTTGTCCTGAATCACTAGACTATGAAAAGCATTACTTGTATCTTTCTTAAAATTTACTTTTTATATCTCACATCTTTCCAACTTTTTTTCCTTTAAGCTTTGCTTTGAGATTATGAACCTGGGTTTCTCACTAGGCTTTGGCCAGTTCTCTAGAGTAAAGCAAGCCAGTGAGACACAATTGAAATCATTCAAAGACATCAATACCTACAGCTGAAATTAGACTCTGTAAGATATTTGGGGTAGGTACTATGTCATTATCATTATAGACCATCTAAAAAGTTGTTACTGAATTGATAAAGATTGTCAGCTTATATTAGTAATTATTAACATGCCTTGAGGAAGGCGGGGGCACTTTGGGGAAGGGAAGTACCTTCAAATACGTATGTATTGGGTGTTAAATTGAATGTAAGATTATTTTGATTTTTGTGGGTGAACACTCTAGAAAATACTCTCTTTAAATATCCTGCTCTTTTATAACTACAATACACAGACAGCCATTTTAATAGCTAAAGCTTTTTTTGAATTGTATTTGCATTTAATAACAAGTAAGTGTAAATATCTGAGAAGATGCCTGGAACGGAAATGTAAAATTTCTAGTAAATAGGTTGATATAATTAATAAACTTATTTAAAAATCATTGAAGAGGCTGGTCCTGTTTTTTGGTGAAAACACAGCTTCACTGCTATTATATATACATGAAACGTATTTTCTCCATGGTTTACAGAACAAAAATAAGTTTAAGAACCAGTTACAGAATCAGGCTGAACTAGGTGGCCTAAACAGAGGAAATGGTGCTGTAGGAATTCTTTGTGACTTTCCACTCCTAGGACATTGTAAGTATGTTTATCGAGAAAGAGGAAAGCCAGTGGCACTCTCTTCACCCTCCACCTTTTGAGCTGCGTTCTTCTGGGCTTTTCTATAATAGGTGGAATGAGTTATTTCCTGAGAGCACCCCAACTTGCCCACCCAGGCTGTCTATATAGCAAGGAGGGTCTGCCTGAGACCTGGGTATCTCTCTAGCTCTCGTAATGCTCAGCCCGGCCCCTGGGTCATCCCTTAGCTGCAGCCAGATTAGCTTTTATACAACTGCTGTTGTCACTCTAGCCCATGCACAAACCCTTCTCTTTTCTTTCCCCATCTCTATTCCTTTTTTATTTCAAAGCTTTCTCCCACCAGAAAAAAGCCACCTCAGCCTCCTTCATGTCTCTCGATTTGTCTCTGTAGTTTCTTTTATCCTTTCCCTCCTCCCCCTAACTGTAAAGAAAAATAAATCATCTCTCTGATACCAATCCTTCCCTATCTTACTACCCTAGGGACCTCACTCCAACACTTAATCCCACTTTCTCAAGTTCTTAACATTTTTATTACCCAGGATAATTGACCTTAGCAGGGGAGCACGCATAATTTTCCATTACCCTCAAAACGCCTGCCTGCGATTCAGCTTTTCTGTCACTCTGTTACCTGCCCTGCTTCCCGCAGTCCCAGGTTAGGGGCAGATGACCGTCTGCCCTCTGGGGTTCTGCCGATTGAACATAATCACAAGGATCCAAGCTAAATTGAATTCAAAGGGTCAATTTTACTTTCCAAAGTAAAGACTTCTGAGCTAATTGTGCTGGAGGTTGCAGTTTTGAATTGAGACTAAAAAAAGGGATTGATGATATTTTCCAGACTAGAAAGGGACCCATCTGACCTTGTCTCAGACACTCAGTTATAAACAGAGAAAGGATGAGAACAAAAGAGCAGAGCTCTGACTGTGTCTGCCAGAGGCTGAGCCGGCCGGGTCTGCTCTCTGGGAAATTTGGGAAGCTCAGTCAGGCTCCCTGAGCCTAAGTACCAGAAAGCCAGAAAACCCTGTTCCAAACTTTGGAGACACAGTAATCCTTCTACTTTGTTTTCAACTTTGTATCGTGGAAATGTACAAATAGTCCCTAAATTAGAGAAAGTACCCACATTACCTTGAATACCTATATCTTAATTTCCCCAATAGTCAATATCCTACCATTCTTCATTCAACTTTCTTCCCACATTTTTTGTTAGAATATTTAAAAACAAATGCTAGACAACATACAGTTTTACCTATAAATGCTTCAGCGCTGATTTCTTTCAAAACATGCTGAACCCAAACAAAAATAATTCCTTACTATTATCTAAAACTCAGCATATTTTCCCTTCTCCAAAGTGGGTTTGTATAGATTTTTTTTTTTTCTTTTCAAAGTCTGATCCAAATAAGCGCCACGCATTTCATTCTTAAATTAAAAAAAAATTAATTCTATTAGAGTTCTGTCTCCTTTCATTTATTGCCCTTTATTTAGTGAAGGAATCAAATCATTTGTCCTGTAGAATTTTCCACATGCTGGGGTTGGCTGTTTTAATCCCATTTTGTTGTTTACCATGTTCCTCCAGCCTCCATATTTGGTGTAATTTGGACGGTAGAGCTAGAGGCATGCAGACACTTCCTCCCCTCTCTGTTTCTTCTTTCTTCCTTTGTCCCTTCCCCCCTCCCTCCCTCCCTCATTCCCACTTTCTTTTCTTCTTACTAACACACCTCAGAAGGTGCATAGCGTCTGACAGCCCTGGGAGTGACAGGTGGGCAGGGTTCCAGGATGGTTTATCCCGATGCCTTTAGCATCAATTTCCCGACTTCCTTGCCTTTGCAGTTTTATGTCTGGGTTCTTCAGTTGCGTCCTGCTGTTTTAATCCACTAGCTAATTATTTAAACACTAAAGCACGTCTAACTCACTAAACATGCTTTTATTAGTTATGGGTTTTTTAGAAAGTAGATCTTTGACCCATCAAATATTTTTTACCCTTCCATTCAGCAGTTTCCACTTACCGGATGTAGTTAACTCTTCCTCCTTTGGGAGGCGAACGTGAGGGATGAGAAGAGATGTGGAAGCTGCTTATGTGTTGACAGAATATGACAGTCCTCTTAGTATGGGCTGAACAGTGCAGGCAATTTTAATTTTCTTCTGGGAGGATATAAAAAGGGACAAAATAAGGCATCAGTTACTAACAAGGCCATGTAGCCCTTGAGGCCAATCATTCATTCTTGCACTAATTTTGTTCTTAAATTCTATCCAATATCATTTAATATAATCTCTATGTATTATATGATAAGCCCAGATGTTATCAAACAATACAAAGCAAGCCACATAAAAATGCCTGAAGGGCGGCAGCCTCTTTCATTATCGATTTACCAGGAAGAAACTAAGTTATAATATTCACCTGTTTTTTAAATTCTAATTCCTTTCCTATGGCTCTGTTTGAGTATTTTCTATTGACCTGGCCTTCATTTCCTTAATACTGCCTTGTACTGTGTACAATTTGCTATTAAACCCATCCATTGACTTCATAATATCAAAAATTGCATTTTTTTCCTTAATAGAATATATGTGTGGTTCTTTTTGTCAATGCTGCCATTTTAGTGAGTGTCTTTGTCTTTTAATCTATTTTGTCCACTTTTTCCTGTACTTTCAAGAACTGAATACTCATAGGTATTTTCCGGTACTCAGCTGTCCTTCCATGTCGGAAATACCTTAGGGTCTGCTTCGACTGTCTTTCGTTTAGTCTGTCTGCTGGTCACATGATCGTGCCTTCTTACAAGTCCATCTGCTGGTCACGTGGCCCTGCCTTCTTACATGTCCACTTGCTGGTCACGTGGCCCTGCCTTCTTACATGTCCATTAATTTTTTATTGAATGACAGAAATTACATATGAAAGGATCAGAGAGGCTTCTTTGAAAGGTTTACATTTTCTTCAGCCAGGAAAACAGATTTCAGGGTGTATCTTTTTTAATGTTAAATAGGGACTGGACTGAGACTAGGGAGCAGTTTTGGTATAGCTCAGTGCCCCTCTGGTTTGCCTCTGTTCCTGATACTTTCCACTCATTTGGGTCTTTATATTTAAGGTGTGCTTCTTGCAGATAGAATATGTTTGAGTCTTGTTTCCACCCAAACTAAGAATTGCTACCTTTTAGTTGGAGTATCTGGTATACCCACATTTGATGTAATTATTGGCATGGTCAGGTTCAAGTCTACCATCTTCATGTTTTTGCATTTGTCTCTTCTACTTTGTTTCTTCATTACTTCTTTTCTGTTTTCCTTTAGATGAATAAAATATTTTTTTATTTCTTGTTTACTTCTAGTGTATCCTTAATACTATACCATTTTTTCTTTTGTAGTGATTTTTCTAGGGCTATAAATATGCTACTTCAATTTTCATAAGTAAGACAGTCAATTATGTCTATTTAATGCTCTGTACCTCCATTTTTCTACTTTTTACTGTCTACTTTCTGTTCTCATTTCATATTTGACATCTCAAACTTTTCAGTTTCCACTTCTTACTGCCATCTTCAAAATGTAATAAAATTACAACAGTGTAATGCTATTTACTTGCTCTAACTTCTGCCCTATTGCTGCCAGAACGTTTTTCTCGAAACACATTATAAATCCCACTTTATGTTGTTATTATTTTTACTTTAGTTGATTGTCCTTTAAGAAAATTACAAGATGGGGTGGCGCCTGTGGCTCAAAGGAATAGCGCGCTGGACCCATATGCCAGAGGTGGTGGGTTCAAAGCCAGCCCTGGCCAAAAAACTGCAAAAATAAATAAATAAAAGAAAATATGTGTCTTTAAAAAAAAAAGAAAGATAATTACAAGATGAAAGAAAATATTGTTTTATATTTCT